TGTCATAGTATTGCTTGCATTCAGCTGCACCCAAGCAGACGGTGGGTAGGTAGGCGATCCAAATCCATGTTCCCGAATGAACAAATAATTGTGCAGTGCAAAGCATGACATAATAATCATCTTTTGCTTCGCCCTATGGCAGTAAGGTACCCCATCTAGAATGTGTCACTGGCCTTTCAGAACCCCAAATGTTCGTTCGATGACATTGCAAAGCCTAGAATGAGTCAAGTTAAATTTCTCCTGTCGAGACATAGTCTCAACAGGTACACCCCTAAAATCATCCAGATGGTACCTTGTACTTTTGAAAGGACCCATGTATCTAGACTCCAGTGCGTATCCAACGTCCACCAAATAGTAGCGGTCTGCAACACATAAACCATTTGCACAATTAGTTCTTCCATTCTGCCCAAGCACCTAAAAAATGTAGGTCACATAATTGCATGGCAGTCATCACTCACCGTGTGGTGGATGCGGGAAGTTTGGTTCCTCCCAACATTCTCTCAAGACTGACATGTCATGCACCAAACCCGGCATCCCCACACTGACATATGTGAAGCAGCCATCCATATCGACAATGGCACAAACATTAATACTTACATCTCCTTTCCTATTTATATGGTCAATTTTGGCCTCTTTATTCACCTTAACTTTAACATGAGTGCCATCCAAAGCCCCGATGCATCCATTAAAGAATGGTGCATATGTTCCAAGTTGCCATTTCACTCCAGCATAAGTGCTATCAGCTGGAACAAAAATATAGTCTGCCCACCTACAAATAACCTCCGCGACATGACTCACCTTCCTACTAACTGTATCTAAAGACCTTTTGAATCTATCCCTACTCCTTCGAAATGCCTGGTTGTGAGCACATGTCCACACATATATACCTAAAGATTCTAGAAATCCTGTCTCTCGTGTACCCTTTAGTCCAAACCCAAGTAAAATGTCATGCAAATACAGGAAGTTATTAGGAGACATACGCAAGTTATCCAAGCACTTTCGCTCATCTCGCAGATTGATTTCCATCCACTGTCGCTCAGTCATCTTCTGGAAGGGGAGGTCCAAGTTCACCACTAGAGCCGCATTGGCCACTGCTGCTTTGTACTTTGCAAGCAGGACAGCAGCAGCCGCCAAGTTGAAAATGGGCGGTCCTTCGCTGGAGATATCGCTGTTCTCGGAGTCCTCAGTTGTGCTCATCTGTAAAAACATGATTTAGTCCTACAATTGGACAGCTGGTTTTTGAAGAAATTAGTTAATTGAGTATCAAATACGAACCTTCAAATTGGTTGGGTCCAGATGAAGGGTCTGCAGGTTTCAATAGTACAAAAATAGAGTCTTGTCTTGTTTACGTACCATTGAGGCATTACATGTGAGCAGCACCTAGAACACCAATTAATTGTGATACTCTGTTTGCAATTGTAGATGAACCTACAACACCAATTAAGAGCATGTTAGGAAGTTATCAATAGCATATACTGCCTATGTGCACACAAATGTAGAGAAGGATTCGTATCTGGGGACTCCGTGATGGCTGCAACAGCTACCTCATCCTGAACCATGTGGAGACAGTACACCACATAACACATGAAAAAAGAAATGTATGTTTACCTCGTCCTGAACCATGGGGAGACAGTACACCACATAACACATGAAAAAAGAAATGTATGTTGAACAAAGATATTTACATCATAGAACACATTTTATTTGAATACTTGGAAAAAATAGCACACAATGTTCAGGCCACAGGCCACATTAGAACGATGGAAGTTAAACATATATTCGCAAAGACACAGTACAACTCAACATGCACGTTTTGAAAAATGAAACTACATAGACTGCCGCAGTGGGAGCGCTTGTTCGGATAACATCTACTTGGATCTGGATCTCCTATCCTCCTAGCAGATCTCCAGAAAGTTGAGGCGACCCTCTTTGATTTCCATGCTTAGGAAGTTTCTACGATACAGTGTGTTCATGCAAATAATTAAAGCATGAGCATAAACAACATCAGACTCTCGCAAAACATCTTCTTTCATAATCTTGACCACTCTGTCCATCTCCTCTTCCTGCTTGCTGATACGGGCCTTCTGCAACTTATGGTCTTTAATGATATCGGTCAGGTCGTTAAGACACTCATCAATGGAAGCATTCTTCTTACTACGAGGGCTGTTGACGAGTAATTCCTAGTGGATCTCTTGGAGGACTGACCAACACTCTAGACACCTACGAGGTCCGGTGACATGTCTTGTGGACTACCATGGCTTGCATTACTGGGTGTCCTCTCGCGATGATGGCCACCAGAAGATAGCAACGAACCCCTATCACGGGGGTGTGTCCCCAAAGAGTTTTCAGTAGGTCAAGGCATCTGGGAATTTTGGTCCGCTCCGTAGTAGATTTGCTATTTTCCTGCACGTGTTATGGATCCACAGGTTAGAATTAGTAGAATGGGAACATCCCTAGTACTGGGTAGTTAGGGGGTTAAAAAGGAATTAGCTGTAAGTTAGTGCCCTGTTGCCACCCTCAAAGAACGAGGGGTCAACTGTGACGCCTCCTGTATTCGGGTCATGGCTTAGGCCAGTGTGGGTTTGAAGGTCGCGCCAAGTAAACTATGCCCGCTTCATCTCATTGAACTTGTTCTACAACTGTTTCTTGTCATACGACAACCCCATTGCCTTTTCGAATGCTAGATAGATATTTGCCCAACCAAGGGTTATGAGGCCTCGCTAGTTCCAGTGCAATAGGTTTTTCTGTTCTATCACTAGTTCTAGAAAGGTCGTCAAGTTGGCGTCATCCCAGTTTGCACGATCTATGGATATCTGTTGCCATGTTTAAAATGTATGGTATGATATACGCAGCATCGATGAAAAAACAATGGCTCTAAGAGTTACAAACAAGAGAGTTAGGGCGTAAGAAATAGGGACATGCCTTGGCAAAAACGCTTGAATGGAGGTTGTAGTGCCTGGTTTCAGGTGAAGAGCACGATGAAGTGGAGGATGCTGCCAGTGTGGGCAGCGTTGGGCAGCACTTGTTAGCACGTCCACGAAATGGCTGCACAAATGGCAATACTACGAATGTGAGCGGTGCACTGATACAAACCCGAAAAAACACCTTGTAAATGAAATTATATGTGCGCAATCAAAGTGGCAGCATCAAGCAACAGGTACACCCAAAGGTATAGTTTGCATCACCAACATTCTTTAAGCATGCCATCAGCATGTCATTACAGTAGAGCTACAACCAACATACAAGAAAATTCTATCTACCTGAGTATACTTTTGACAATTTATAGTGAGGGTAAAATTACCATTTGTCTAGCATCTAGCCATGAAAGCGAGTGTTTTCTTGTTCAAAAGGTGGAAATGTCACAAGACTAGGAGGTCTAGGTTCCTTAGAAGTCGGTGATGCAACCCTTGCATGATTGGATAATTAGGCAGTGAGTATTATTAACAAACAAGTGGTCAGCCACTCAGCCAAAATGTGTTGGGATTGTTAATACTTAGTTGCATTACAGAACTTGTAGAAACATGAGCGCCGCGTCATGCAAACTGGGAAGAGCCTACGAACCCAAGTATCCAATAGCATTACTAGTTGCATGCACATTCAACAACGGAATCAAGACTAACAGGAGACGCCTCGGCCATGAGCTGCCTGGCTAGGGTTTGGTCTACCGGGAGGCAGCGGCGAAGGGAAAGTGGCGCGGTGGGGGGCACGGCACGACGGCAGTGACTAGCGAGAGTTGGGACGCAGGTGCACGAGAACGAACCTAGGGTCCCTAGATCCGGCGAAGAGGCAGGCGATTCCGACGAGCTGAGATGCGGATCCATGGGCGGCGGTCGGGATACACCTACAAAACGAGCACGTGGGTGTCAGATCCGGAGGGGGAGGGATGACGCCAACCTCGTATCCGGGGTTACCTGTGCCCGGCGAACGGGCTTTGATTGCGGCGGGTTCTGGGAGGGATGCGGAGCTAGCGGTCGCCACGGAAGGCTGTCGACGGCGACGGGGCGCCCTCACGGCGTTGCGAGGCGGGCGGGGAGGGAACCGCTTGCGGCGGCTGGGGCGGGCACGGCGAAGCGGAGCTCACGGCCGCTGCGGCTCGCGCAGAAGAGAGAGGCTGTGGGGCGACCAAGCGCAAACCCTAGCAGCTATCGAGGGAACGGAACGACCGATGGAGTGTGAATACGCTGACCGGTCGGCTTTTACATCAGCCGTTCGGCTGGACCTAGGCTGAATAGCCCAGCCAAAATCATCCTAAGCCCAGCCAAAACCCGCGCAGCCATCCGATTTAGTCCAGCCGAAAGTAGCGTTTGTTCCGAGTAAATTTAATAATATCAAGGGCCAGAACGCGACGTGCGCTCCTGCCTTTTGCTGCAGCAGGAACCGACGGTGGTATCCTCCGGAAGCAAAAAGGTCGCGCTGGTTGGCCGCGTGTCACCCCCGTGTTGGCCTGGCAGCACGACCTCATCACGGCACAGCCTCCCCATGCTCCCCTTCGCCCTTCCCCCCACCCCACCCACCCGCGATCTCCGCGCCGGCAGCTCGGCAGGCAGGCCTCCACGCTCCACCACCACCCTCTCGGTCTCCGTGCTCCCTCGCCAAACCCACCCGCCCGGGATCAATCATCATCTGACTAACCAACGCCGAAGCAATCCCTCGGCTCCCTCCGTCCTCCCCAGATCCGGCGCCGCCTCCGCCCTCACTGCACCAGCACCGCACGGCGGACACGTCGCCTCCCCCGCGCGATCTGATGCAGGCGCACGCGGTGGCCAGGTAAACAAGCCTCCGACTCCCGATTAATTTACTTAACCGCCGCTATTAATACACCGACCCGCCCGGCCGCCCCTTCCTCCTCCCACGTCGCTCACCTTCCTCCCCTGGGACCGGCCTAGATCTCTCTCTCCCTCGGGTCCTCGTTCCCGAACCCTCCAATCCCTTCCCCATGCTGCACTGGTTCTGCGGCCGAATCGCTTAATCGCTTATTGGTCTCTGTGGAATCAGCGGCGATGCGGTGGAAGCTTAACTCCTCTGTCTACAAGCGCGTGCCATCCAGGGAAACCGCCATGGAACCCGACGTCGAGACGCCAAGTTCGTACCCCGCTCGGTTTCCCCCCGTTCCTCTTACCACTGGTTAATTTATGGTGAGATTTGATCTCATTTCCTTTTCCCATTTCCGTTTCCATTTCCATTTCCGCAGTGAGAATGACGGACAGCGGCGGCGGCGCGGGGCCGTCGTGGCGCATGTCCTTGCCGCATGTCTGTGTCGCCACGCTCACCTCGTTCCTCTTTGGATACCACTCCGGGTGCGTGCCCTTCCGCCCACGTTTTCTGCACTTCTGATGGCTCTGTTGCCCTCATCTGAAACTCGTGCTCATTTGGTGCCGTGATGGTGATGACGCAGGGTGGTGAACGAGCCCTTGGAGAGCATCTCCACTGACCTTGGCTTCACCGGCAACACGCTTGCTGAAGGTACGGGGGCATTTCTTCTGTTAATTGTAGTGGTTTTGGTCAGTTTATTTACTTGTTATACTCGAGTTGTGCTTGTGCTTCTGTTGGGTGCAGGGCTCGTGGTGAGTATCTGCTTGGGAGGAGCTTTTGTTGGGTGCCTCTTCAGCGGCTCCATCGCCGACGGGATTGGGCGACGCCGTGCGTTCCAGCTCAGTGCACTGCCTATGATCATTGGTGCTGCCATAAGGTGACATCATGTGCCACTTGATTTGTCTTTCACTTTCACTTTCACTAGATCCTGTCTCTGATTGGTTTAATGTTGTATTTAAGCGCCACTTGCTAGCATTCATTATTCTTTGTTATTTTTTGAGTCATTATTCTTTGGTTGAGTCAGTGGAAGTTGTCTGTTTTTTGTCAAACAATTAAGTACTACTACTTGGACCTTGGGTGTACCATCTGGTGACTTCCTTGCTGGTGAATTGGTCTCTTGGACTAGTGTCCTGCTGACTGGTTGCCGGTCTATTGTTGCTTCTGTAGAATTGCTGAAAAGTTGAATTGTGGGTAAAATATCTACCTCTTTTTTTACAGGCACTGCTTGAGTAATCCATGAATTAATCGTTGAAATTTTTTCTACAATTTAACTTTATTAAGATTTAGGAGATGAACCACGAATATGAGGTACGTGGAAGTCTACTTATCGTGGTATCATCTGGGCACAGGAAGCTCCTCGCCCAGCCAAAGAAACAATACAATTTTCCTTATTAACAAAAAGTAACTGAACAATGATGTAAAGTAACATAATGTAATGGTCCTGTAAGAACCGTGCAGTTCTTCCAAATATGGGGTAAACTTAGTTTACCTGTTACATTTTCATGTGGGCACTGTGAAAGCTCCTTGGCCGCTCATAGAAGCCCTAGAGTAAGAATATTGCTAATGATGAGAAGTAACTAAAACAATACCATACAATTGCAGCGCTCTCACCAATAGTTTGGAGGGTATGCTCCTCGGAAGATTTTTGGTAGGAACAGGGATGGGATTGGGTCCACCAGTTGCTTCACTTTATATAACGGAGGTATGTAGATCGTGTTTTCTCAAATGACTATTGTAAAGTTCTCATATGGTTTACCTTCTATTCGGATATAATTTTCATCTGGTTCTTTGTCTATGTCCACCTCTGATGGAATGCAGGTTTCTCCTCCTACAGTGAGGGGTACATATGGTAGCTTTGTTCAGATTGCAACCTGCCTTGGAATTATAGTATCACTCCTAATTGGTACACCTGTCAAAGATATCGATGGATGGTTAGAAGCTTTCTGTTTTAGTCCTTTACATGCCTTTTGAATTTCATATTTGTGAAATTTATCTGTACCAATGTTATTATTGCCGTTGGCAGGTGGAGAGTGTGTTTCTGGGTTGCCACTATCCCAGCGACTTTACAAGCTCTTGGTATGGAGTTTTGTGCTGAGAGCCCCCAGTGGCTCTATAAGGTACTTCTGCTTTGGCACATTGCTTGGTTTCTATGCTATGTTTCTGATTTATCAAGTCAAACATGCATGTTTGTTTCTTTGGTCACCCATATGGATGCTGCTGTTTTTCTTTTACTCGTTGAAAATGGTTGGGTTACATGAATGGCACGGGTCGACGAACCTCATGTCTCATGTTGCTTCAGTATTTAGTACAGCATACTTCATAATGACTATGATGCGATATATTGATTGTCAAAGCCACTAACTGTATGCAGTGGCGAAGCTTCACATAAATGTTGGGGCCACTAGTGCTAAAATAGCCTGGTTAGCAGTGTTTAAGCATGATTAAGTATAAAACTTCAAAGCAATATGGAAAATTAGGGAGGGCCATGGCCCATTTGGTCAAGCTCTGCCAGTGACTGTTTGCATGAATTGATATATGTGGTTTGTGTATGTGTGTTCTTGTGTTCGAGCGTTACCCCTTGAGCAGTGTCGTAGCTAGGAACAACTTCTAGGAGGGGCCAATTTGTCTTATGGAGATCAACATGTACACAAATGCTAGTGTATTTAGTCACTAGCTGCAAGTTTGATGCTAATTAACACCTCAAATAGCTAATAAGAAATAACAATTAGACTGTATTAAGTACACATTACCCTGTACAGTCTCCTGTGTGTTTGATAAAAAAAAAATATTTGAGACTTCGAGACTCCAGAGTGATTTGATGAGGCCTGTTCTTGTATGCAGTGTGGAAGAATAAGTGAAGCAGAGATGCAATTTGAAAAGCTTCTAGGCCCCCTTCATGTAAAATCTGCCATGGCAGAACTTTCTAGATCTGAAAGAGGAGATGATGGAGAAAGTGTGAAGTACTCAGAGTTGTTCTATGGTCGCCACTTTAATGGTACAAGCTATTCTGTTATTCTTTTTGTTGCATTTATGCACTTCTAATAACCTGAGTTCAGTCTGGCCGTGAAGTTTGTTCATTACAAGTCCCTTTTTTGGTACAGTTGTTTTTATTGGCACAACGCTCTTTGCTTTACAACAGTTATCTGGCATAAATTCTGTGTTCTATTTCTCATCAACTGTGTTCAGAAGTGTGGGGGTGCCCTCTAACCTTGCCAACATATGCATGGGGATTTCAAATCTATCAGGTGCGCTCAAAGTTGTTCTTATACAGTGTTATTATGTTCATTTTATCAGATGACTTATTTTTTGTGTGCTGTCTTGCAGGCTCAATTGTAGCAATGCTTCTAATGGACAAGCTAGGTAGAAAAGTGCTTCTTTCAGGGAGTTTCCTTGGGATGGTAAGCGACCATGATAAATGGCACTTTTTTATCAAAAAATTGCAAACACTGAAAAAGCAAAAAATATGTTGAACATCACTGACAGCACTTTACTGGTATAGGCTTTTGCAATGGTGCTTCAGGCTGTTGGAGCAAACCGTCAGTATCTTGGTTCTACAAGTGTATATCTTTCAGTTGGTGGCATTCTGTTGTAAGTTCCAAGCGTGATACATTTTGTAGCTTAGTTCTCTGTGTGTTTCATATGGAACTGAACTAATTGAAACATCTGCCTCTGGTACCTCATACTAACATTCTACATTAATTTGTCCTAGATGATTATGTTCTTATAAAACTTGGTAATAAATGGAAGTCACTTTATATTGGCTATGAAACGTTCAGGTCATGTTTTTATTTTTTTTATTTTGCTTGATGTTGTCTTGACCACACCTCTACTACTTCCATTATTGATTGCTACTGTGTAGGAGATTGAATTACTGGTTGATCTTTGTCTTATAGCATAGTAGATCGGTACTTTACGTGTTCCATTGTCATTCTTGATATCTGTTTTCCCTAATGATGTTGTATCACCTAAGCTGCATAGCAGTTCTCCATATGTATTTACTATTTTCGAATTGGTTGAATTGTATACCAGAAGCTAAAATTCTGTCATTTGCCTTTATGTTCATAGCACACCTGTTCTGTTTGACAATTGTGGCTTACTTTTTTATGAGTATAGCTATTGTAAATTTTTTGGTCCAGTTACTTACGACTAGGATTTTCGCAGGTTTGTCTTGTCATTTTCACTAGGAGCAGGCCCAGTCCCAGGACTTCTTTTGCCTGAGATTTTCCCCAATAAAATCCGGGCTAAGGCTATGGCTCTCTGCATGTCTGTACATTGGGTAAGAACTCCATGAGCCATGATATCAGGCACGCATGTGAATTGTTAGATGGAAAAGAAGCATACCAGTATGGAAGAATTGTACATTATATATCTCTAAAATGTCTAGCCTTTTGTTTAGTTGATTTGGGATCAAACTCATAAACTAACACAGAAATGAAAAGGGGCCTTATTGTGTCGAAATGTTTCTGGATTGAGGTGTGGATAGTCTAGGCTTGTATTTCATAGATTTTGAAGCCTCACAGAAATAATTTTTAAATCAGGCTTTTGCCACCTTAATCCAGTTAAATTTTTGATTGATGGTAAATGGCCTAAGTGCTGATAGCACTGATAAATGGAGAGGTCGTGACAACAGCTAGATGGAACCCAGCTTTAGTCACAAGGTGTATAAGGGTGCCAAACTGTTTAATCAACCTGAATGCGCAAAATGGTTGGAGATTGGCATAGCATGTCTTCTGCTAATGTTTTCTTATATGACCGTAAGAGTGTCCCCCACCACCTGCACCTTTTGTCTGCCATTCCTTTATCTACCACATTCCATTTCCATAGTTTTATATATGCTACATGCCTACATACCACATGAAAGTATTGAAAGTTAATTTGGAAGTATGTAGTTGGTGCTGGTACTTGAAATTTCAACTCATAATTTTGATTTATGCCAGAAGTACTCTGTATAGGATAGAGTTTGCCTTTAATCCCTCTAAAAAATGTTTTGGTCTTTGGGTTTCTTGTTGTTTGTGTAGATGAGTATCAACTAACTAGTCACTAGTGACTATGGGCTAAAGAAAAAACTTTTTTCTCCTAACAATTAAAGTCCAAACTAGCAATAGTGGTCTACACTTGTGCTTGTTTTTTATAGATGGTTTTATCCATGTTTCTTGAGTTATTTTTCAGAGTTAAAATGATATATACTCATTGACATCCAATCCTTGAATGTAACTTTGGCAGATTGTGAACTTCTTTGTTAGTTTGCTGTTCTTGCGTCTTCTGGAGCAACTTGGTCCACAGCTTCTCTACACAATATTTTCGTCAGTCTGCGTGGTAGCCTCAATATTTGTGCGGCGCCATGTGGTAGAAACAAAGGGAAAGACTTTACAAGAGATAGAAGTTTCACTCCTGCAACCACAATAAAGGTACACCTTGGTTAATTTTATCATCATACATTCATGAGTTGCACAGGAGTTGAGCTGACTCAAAACGCAATATGCTTAGTTGGTATTTTTGATGAGAAGACCATGTGAATAGGAAGCATGCCCAGGAACGCCTTACCTTTTCATAAACTGGATTCACAGGCCAACCGCTCCTCGTTGCAGGTATATATTTGACGTGACTGGAATCTGTTGCTACGTTGTTTGCTGAACACAAACAAGCTGGCCCTGCAGAAGCTCATTCCTGAAGTCGTCTCTTGAGAACGGAAACGCCCTACAAATGGTCTCAGGGAAGTTCCAGATATGCGCCTGCGACCGCTAGGGCGTCTCCATATATCATAATTTACTGAAGTTATGCCTGTATAGCCCGCCCTAGTTAGGATGCTTCATACTTGTGTTGTCATCTGTTCTACCTATATACGCCTTAATATATCAAGCAAAAAACGTACTACTGTTTGACCGTTGATGAGCACTGTCGAAACGAGGAACTATCACTTGAAACACATGTATGTACCACAGTAATAATAGTCCGAATAATAACATTAACACTGTACGGAGATGCCTTATTAGACGGAAAAGCTCTGTTCCAGCTCTTACGCGTCCTAATTCCGCAGCCTGAACGGTGAACGTATCCGGTCAGAAATCGGGAACGTAACACCACTGCCCGTCTCCATGAGTTCATGCCTACTGCATACAGGCCGCTTTCGTAGAGAAACATTTTGGCATGGTTTTGACTTGTTATACATCATATTGTCTGTGAAACCAAAAATAGGGACTATTTTTGCTTTAGGGCCCGTTCGGCAGCAGGCGGACCAGATTTGGTTCCTGGCCAGTATACAACCAGTTTTCAATACGGATGGCTCCGTTCCACCCGGAACGTTCCTGGTCAGTATACACCAGTTTTCAATACGGATGGCTCCGTTCCACCCGGAACAACCCGTTTCCAAAGAAACGAACGGAGCCTTAGTGTTTTTTAGTTTATTTCGAGAGAAAAAGAAAAACGATTCCTCGTCATGAAGAAGCTGGGGCTAGAGCCGCCCTGAACATCAAACGACACCTCAGTATTAGAATGTTGGAAGCAATTCTATCAATTGAGATTGGGTCACAGTTAGAGGTACCCATTCGAAAACATGTAACAATCGGGAATTGATAACTGATATCTGGAAGACTGAACTAGGCAAGTATTACTCCCACAAACACAACGCTGTGTAATTCACAATTTATCAATAGTTTATTTCCAAGAGCACTAAAAAACCACTGCCCAAATCATTGATTATTCTTTTTTTATAATGACACTCAAAAGAGTCTCACATCTTATACTCCCTCAGTCCAGAAAAGATGTAATTATGAGATTCGTGTCGGTTAAAGTAGTTAAGTTGGACCAAGTTTATAGCAAATAATATTAATATTTATGTCTCCAAATAATTTTATTATGAAAATATATTATATGACTAATCCAATGATACTAATTTTGCATTAGGAGTATTAGTATTTTTTATATAATTTTGGTCAAAGTTTAAATTGATTGACTTCTCGGGAAGCGAGAATTGCATTCTTTTATTGACGGAGGGAGTATATTAAGAAAAAGAAAGACCAATACAAAAAAATAGACGATAAGACACAAAACGATCTCTAAGAAAAAAAAGAGTACATCAAAGACCAAATTGATCGTCTTCTTCCTTCCGGCGTCCACAGCCTGCAAGAACTTGGAGATCGCACTGAAAAGACATCAAATAAATCGCACTGAAAAGAAAGCAAAGAAAAGGAACACCTGCAAACACCCTCGCCAAACAAGGTTTTGAAGACCGCAAAAGTCACTCGCCGCAGACGACGAGATATAGAAACCACTGATAGAACATTGGTTGAAGAAACCCTCCAAAGAACGCAGGCTTACAATTCTTCACCATTAGAATAGAGTTGAAGATGCCAGACATTGCTGTAACGCAGACCAAAAGAAAAGGTTGAGATCGCCGCATCATTATTCTAGGTGTCAAAGAAGAGTGCAGAGCTAGTTTTGTGCCTTTCTCCTACAGTTGTACATAATTTGTTCCTAAATAAAAATAAAATAGAAACTAGGCCTACTATCTAATTATGCTCGGTCTTCCTCTACTCTCAGTAGGGCTGAAGCCCTTGCTTGGTGTTGTTCACCCTGGGGAAGTGAAAACCCATGAGCTTCCGGATAGGTGTAGGGTGGATTTGTGCGTTCATACATTGAATCATCTGATCTTGGTTCTTCACGGACTCGGTCATCCTTCTAGCATACAGTGAATCTCTAGAGGTCATCATCCGGAATCGTGAACTCCATTCATCTCGATCCTTATGGGGAAATGCTGGAATGAATCTAGCTCCAACATCACAAGCTCTTCTGGGAGCACGACTATGGCTTGATAGGCCACTGACTGGATCGCCAAGTCCATCGAGGTACCCTTTGCCCATATCACCCTATCAATCTCTTCATCAACCATGGTGAGGCGCTAGGCAGTCGCACATTGGCCATGTAGTCCACCATTCCATGCCTATAGCCCTTGGCATAGACAGCATACTCCAGGCGATAGGAGAAGTTGCCACGCCACATCACCTCCTCAAGCAAAGCTGGGAATCCTTCAATGTTCGCCCCATGGTAAGCCATCACTAGCTTCCCAACCTCCATCTATCCATGTAAGACAAGAAAAGTTAGAGCTTCTTATTTGCAAAACTCAACCCATTAGGAAAGGGATAAAAATAGCTCTAAGATAGACAAGGTTAACTAACATAACAAGAAGTGACATCCTTAACACTCAACTTATTTGGTTCAAAAGTTTCTATTCTTTAAGTGAATCATGTTGAATAGACTAAAACGTTCCTCACTTACTAGAACGCAAGTGGTAATGGGAATCCTCTACATGCTCTGATACCCGTCCGGCCGGCTGGGGACAATTAGCATGTCAGGATCACCTCCCTCTTGGCTAGTAACCTAACTAGATAGTCTTCCATGGACTACTATTAGTTAGATAAACCAACTTAGTGGATCATCTCGGTACACTACGCATATAGTGTACCAATGTCTGACCTTCTAGGACCATTACAGCAGAGACCCACATCACAACTCATATCAAGTTCACATCACAAATTAAAAAAGATAGTTAAGTTTACAACAAGTTTGTTCCACACGCTTAGTCATAACACGTCATACTCAGAGTACTAGCGGAAGGCTTAGTTCAAATACATAAGTTTGATACACACTTATGGGTGTACCACCTCCGTAAGCCTATGGCATGCAGGTCAACTGTCTACCACTCCTGGTCCTTCGAGGACTCATAGAAGAACCCATAAGCTAGAGGGACAGTACCTGCAAAAGCTTAAGTGATAGGCGGGGGAGTACACAATTGTACCCAACAGGAATTACCCTTATAATAACAAGGATTATGCAATTTCATCTTGTAGCAAGGAATGTGGTTGGTTTTGCATAAAGGCAGTTGAACACAAAGTAAGGTGATCTTATCAACTAAGCAAGTGTAGCATTGTTGATATGATTAAGCAATTATCAAAGTGGAGCTCGGTCTTCCATGAGTCCTTCTCACAACACGTACTACTTCGTATCTAGAAGCATAGACCGTGTATATAGTTTGAACTCCATAGAGGGGTACACACTAACCCCACCAAAGACAAGGCTACTGCCCATACAACCTGTCGGTACATAAGGGGTAACTCATTGCCTCAACCTTTTCCAAGTCCGGCCAATGATGCCCATGAATGGTTACAACATGAGCCAAAGTACTAGCCGTTTCTAGCTACCCCTCGCTACACCTCGCGCCGAATCTATGAGAAAACATATCGCAACAATGTACTACGCTTGCCACACCCATTCATGACAAAGTGGTTTGTACAAGTATGTTCATATCTTACGACCACAGGTAAGCAGTCCTTATTAATCGGCCCAGGAGCTAAACCATTCAAGATTTGTCCTGCCTTGCCATGGCCCAAGCCCTCGTGGATCCTCAATTCATTTCTCATCATGTGTACAGAAGTTTTAGATTTTTGCTCCATCTCATGTTTCTTAGTGGACAAGCAAGTCCTATAACACGCGAGATGTGAGAAAGCCATCACTTTCCCGACTTCTACTGCTCTAAGCAGTACTAAGCATGTATTTCACAACTAAAAATAAACAAGATACAAGGCATAAGGACCAATCACAAGGCAATAAGCTCAACTGGGTACAATGGTTCACTAGTCATATTGTAATATAAATGCAATACTTAACCATAGGCCACTTATGCAATTAGCAAAGTAGGAATGCTTAGGAGCCTACCTTGGTTCTCAAGTGGTGGTGGTATGTTGGGGTCTTGCTTTGCCTCCGCACCCTCGTCATGGGAAGCTTGCGAGGGTGGAGGCCGAGGGTTCCCCATAGGAAAGAGATGTGAGAAAGCCATCACTTTCCCGATTTCTACTGCTCTAAGCAGTACTAAGCATGTATTACACAACAACTAAAAATAAACAAGATACAAGGTATAAGGACCAATCACAAGGTGATGAGGACATGAGCTCCATGCATACGACCATGATTGGAGATAGAGGACGAGGAGATCAGCGAGGGTGTCCTAACCGAGAAGAGGCCCGAAGCTCATCCGGTTCGAGTCACCAAGGTGGAGGCCCAAATCAAGTTCGCCCATCTCGGGTTCCAAGACCAGTCTGTCATAAAACTAGTCACACGGGCGCGTCCGGGCTCTGTTTTCGACGATCCATATATGGATGGAAAGCTAATTAGATAAGGAAGCCAATGCAAGTGGTCTTACGTCAAAAGCCCTTCGGAATCAACGGGAATCGTCGAAACAAGTCAGCGTCCAGAATCTGTCAGGGTGCTGCGACACTGTCTTTTGGTCCGTTGGACCGTGTATCGTCTTAGAGCCCATTAGGGGGCGCGTCCAGGGGGGTGACGTCCGGGGGTCTATAATTAGCAGCCGTCGCTCTTCTTAGGGCTTGGGGTTTTGTTTAGTTCTTGATTTC